TGTTTGTTGACCACATCACTGGATCGGTTATAACAGAAATGTCTGCCTTTTCTTATTAACACCAATTGAATCCAATTTTTGTGTTCAAAATCCTTTTCAATAGATTTGTCGTCTCTATAAACCCGATAATCCCTATAATCGGCGCCTAAGTCCTCAACAAACCGTTTGATATGTTGTTTATCCAGAATAACATCTTCGTCTCCCAGTACCACAAGAGTCGGAATCTTATTATCTCTCAGATAATTGAGTCGCTGATGAAGTAGTTGTGGCTGAGCTCCAGTGCTAAACAACATCATCTGAAGTACTTGTCCCACGTTTTCGTACGACATTGCAAAGTAGAATTTGTTAACAAATGAATGCAATTTTATAATTTCCATTAATTTAATGCCGTATTTATTTCGTGCAAATCTTGTAAAAAATTTGCCGACAAAATAATAATATTTTGAAAACCAAAGCGGTTGCGGACAAAACATACCAATTGATTTGATTGATAAGTCTTGTGGCTATTAATTTTAAAACATCTATATTAATAACTAGCATTTTATTGCAGATTTGGCAATAATAAGTTATTATACCTGAGACCATATCATGGAAATGGGATGTATTCCCGATGAATGACTAATAAGAGCATCAATGTTGCAGACATTTATTGCTTTCAAAAAATCTCTTATAAATTGAGACCTTTCTTCGTTTGAGTGCCAGAAACCCATTGATTGTCGGGTTATCTCAAAGTCAGGCATATTTGGAGCTATTATTCTCACTTTTGACTCATTGTTACCGAAATAATCATATAATCCGATAAAGTGTTTGTGATGACCCGGATTACCATGAATGGCAACTATTGTCTTCACGTCACTTGTAGGCTCTTTATCACCAAATGTGTCCACATATTCAACACTTACTGGAAGTCCATCTGAAGGACTGTTCCGATAAATTCTTGGATTACTTTTCTTCAACTTGTCATATAATTGACCACAAGTTTTGAATTCAATTCTTTTGATAATATTTCGAGAATTTGTTGAGAATTGAACACAATTATAAAATTGAACTCTATTTACACCAATAATTTTATTTAAATAAATTGTAACACCTTTAAGGGAATTCATTCTTTAAAACTTATACAAAAGTTAAATTTTAATGTTTTGTTTGCACAAATAAATTCTATTAAATAACATTCAAACTTAAAGTGAAGTCAAAATGTACTTATTATGAAGTTAACTTAAACTTTTCATTTTATACTTTCAGTTCTTATAACTTATCCAAAAGTTCTAATGTTACTAATTCATATGTATAAACAAATAATCTATATAATTTTATCTCATCAACTCATAGGGTACATTTTGTATTTAAAATACTGAGCTTTTTAGACTAATCTAATTTATATCACATTTTCAAATACTGTACTCTACAAATATTTTTAAATTCATTTTTATCATAATTGTTTTATTAAAGATACTGAAAAAATTAACAAAATTGCAATTTCTTAAAATTACAATTATATTAAGAATACATTTTAGCAAATCATTTATCATAATATGAAAAATATAAACCACATGAAGTCTTAAGTGTGCTTAAATTTTGTCCATTGCCATGAATTTTGAGAGAGATATAATTTATTTGTTTAGTAATATTAAGATAACAATTAACTGGATGACAATAAATGAGTTTCGATGTGTTTGTTGACCACATCACTGGATCGGTTATAACAGAAATGTCTGCCTTTTCTTATTAACACCAATTGAATCCAATTTTTGTGTTCAAAATCCTTTTCAATGGATTTGTCGTCTCTATAAACCCGATAATCCCTATAATCGGCGCCTAAGTCCTCAACAAACCGTTTGATATGTTGTTTATCCTGAACAACATCTTCATCTCCCAGTACCACAAGAGTCGGAATCTTATTATCTCTCAGATAATTGAGTCGTTGATGAAGAAGTTGTTGCTGAGTTCCAGTGGAACATAACATTACCTGAAGTACTTGTTCCACGTTTTCATATGATAATGCATAGTAAAATTTGTTGGCAAATGAATGCAATTTTATAATTTCCATTAATTTAATGCCGTATTTATTTCGAGCAAATCTTGTGAAAAATTTTCCGACAAAATAGTAATATCGTGAAACCCAAATAGATGGACAAAACATACCAATCGATTTGATTAATAAATCTTGTGGCTATTAATTATAAAACATCTATTATAATAACTAACATTTTATTGCAGATTAGACAACAATAAGTTATTATACCTGAGACCATATCATGGAAATGGGATGTATTCCCGATGAATGACAAATAAGAGAATCAATGTTGCAGACATTTATTGCTTTCAAGAAATCTCTTATAAATTGAGACCTTTCTTCGTTTGAGTGCCAGAAACCCATTGTTTGTCGGGTTATCTCAAAGTCAGGCATATTTGGAGCTATTATTCTGACTTTTGACTCATTGTTACCGAAATAATCATATAATCCGATGAAATGTTTGTGATGACCCGGATTACCATGGATGGCAACTATTGTCTTCACGTCACTATCATTTGTAGGCTCT